CTTCCCAGGTCATTGGCTTGTTCTGAGTAGATGTGGTCCCTACTGGAGGTTCTTTCCCAGCATCAACCTTATACCCAATACCATCATCCTTCATTACAGGCACAGTGCCTGACCTATCAGAAAGGTATGCATATTGTCTGATCTGTAAAGACCTGCATGGATGTAACCGATAAAGCTTCGAGTCTCCAGAAGGATCTTGACTATGAACTGACTTTATGTGTGAAGACATAAACTGATAGTTGATGAAAGATTTGCCACAAGCCAAACATTGATACCTTCGCTCCCCTGTGTGATGAATTTCATGCTTTGTGCGATATTCTGCAAGGGGAAATACCTTCTCACAGTAACGGCAAGGATACTTCTTTTCCCAGGAATGAATGTTAAAATGTCTCCGCAAGCTCGTCAGACAGACATATGATCTTTTGCATACGATACAAATATAATAGACCCTTCCATCTACTATTAACTCATAGTGATCATCATGTTTTACTTTCATACGTTTGTTTGCTGTCTCACTGCTAGATGTTTTTGGTATCTCATTCTCAAGTCTGGCCTCCCCTTCATCAGGGTCATCTTTGACAGGGATGACTATGTCATAAGTATCTTCACCGATATTTGCATAAACCTTGCAACCAGTTGACAAGCCTTCAATTTCAGTAGCTGTATCTAAAGTAATGATCTTCTGACCCTCCATTAGATGTTTTGATTCTAAACCTGGATCATTAGTGTTTCTAGTAATTATATCTGAAATTTTTAAAGAATTGGAAAGTGGCTCTTGCAGAAGTGTAGGGATCTGCATCTTCTGTATCAGTGATCCATCAAAAGTGGTACTTTGAGGGATATCAGCCTGTGGGACCAAAGATGTATTACTGATGGCCGAATCTGGACTGGAGCTAATAGTGTCATCATCATCATCTATAATTTCCTCCTCCTCTTCTTCATTGGCCTTGTTTCCTGTTAAAACAGCACTGTTTGGTGTCTGCTGATTCTGCACAAGTAAATTGATTGAAGGTGACATATGATTTGGAAGTGAAGGACTGACATTTGGTGGTGTAGTAAGTGGTGTCTGATTTAACAAAATAATGTTAGGAGTCAGATGTGTCGGGGCCGAAGATACCAGCAATTTTTCACTTCCTTGTGTTTGGCTCAGAGTTGCCTGATTCACAGGAGTAGGAAGTTTCTGAGTAGGTGTGATATTTGTTAAAGGGGGAGAGTTATTACTAGCACAAGGTGCGACATCTGAAATAGCAACAGAGCCTGAGTTAGGCTGGACCTGTGCCACTGCACTGTTACTCGGCAAAGTCTCCTTTGCAGGCAGAATCTCAGAGCAGAAAATGACGTCATCATCATCATCATCTGAATCAGTAACAATGATCTTTTTTGTCTCATAATCTTCAGCAGATAAGGAAAAAGACTCTGTTATAATAGGCATTATAGCGGCCCCATTATCTTGGGCTTCGTCTTTTGATTTTTGTATTTCAAGGTTCTTGTCACTAGAACCAGGAGGTGAGGTTTCTGCATTACCATCCTGAGCTGTACCTGAGATGCTTTTAACCTGTGACAACGGGACACCAAGCTCTGCTATAAATTTAACTCCTAACAATTGCCCTGATTTAATTAACTCATCAAGCAAATCTGATCTAACACGAACAATTTTAGAACTATAGATATAATTGAGAATTTCTGCAAAGATCTCTGCTCTTATAAAGCTCAGTTCAACAACTTGCCCAGCAACTGAGAAGAGCTGATGGAAGTAAGTACTAGAAGCAGAAAGAATATTCCTGTGGGCCCGGAATTTTCGGTCTTCCACAATAACGGTAACATCACAGAAGAGTCCATGGCCACGTTGCTCATTCAAGGAGTTCAGCAGACTGCCAGAGTACTGAATGTCTGTAGCAGAAATCAGTTTTCTACTCTCCATGCCTATAAAAAAAAAGGGAAGGGAATGGGGATGAGAGAAGGTTAGGAAAGAAAAACAAAAGTATTTTATCATTCAGAATTGTAGCTACAGCATCATTAAATAGTTCGTTCAAGTTTTAACTGAAGTTTGGCATAACTTTTTACTTCTATATAAACTGTTCATACAGGATGGGTTTTGGACCACATGTCAATTCTCACGTCTTCCCTCTGAGACAAGCAACTTTTAAATTGATCTACGGACATCAATAGTAATCTCCTCATTTGAAGCTGATACATGCATCACCACTTAGCAAATTTTAAAGATCAGAATTAATTTTCTTAGTTCTGATTTTGGGTTTTCTCCTCAAGAAGAGCTAAGAGTTAATTTTTAGCTGTCTTAAAACTTTTTTAAGAAAAAGCATCATGAACACTAGTTATTTCATGTAAATGAATGATTTACATGTTAGAAAAGTTTGGTGTGTGCAATATTGGGTTGGAAATACTCTTCCTAAATTTTAACTTATCTTTAAGAAATATTCAAAAGCTACTCCCTGCAGCTAATGACTGAATCAGCATTTATAAACACTGAAAACTATTACTTGTAAGTTTCCCATTATTTTTCTGTTATTTAAATTGGGATGCCTCATCTGGATAAATCATTAAACACCTTATTACTCCTTCATCCCCTTTCCCCTCACCTCTTTACCCTTACAATCTCCAGAGGTAGAATGTTAAACAGAGTGCCAAGTGAAGTCAATAGATACTATTGTAAAAAATAAATAAGACAAAGGAAAAGTAAAGTTTACTATTTCTTAACGCTATTTTGCACGAAAACATTTTTGTTGGTAAAGAATTACGTGCACTGGTATGAGAACTTTTTTCACACCAAATGAGTTAGTGAAAATGAAAATATAAACTTATTGGAACAGAGCAGACATTACTCTAGAAAAGAGAGGGCGATGTCAGTAAACAGTATTGCTGTGTACTACTCCCTAAACATTTTTTTGGACTTCTCAGAAATATTCCCAGTAGCACTGACCTGAGTTGCTTAAAAATGTGTGTGTGTGTGTGTGTGTGCGTGTGTGTGTGTGTGTGTGTGTGTGTGTAATAACTATTAGCTGACAAGTACTTTTGGTAAGGAAACACTTTTATTGCTAATATTCTTTTCCTCTAGAGTTACCAAAATAGTACCACTGTTATAGTGCCTAAGTTATGCACTTGAAAGGCAGGGCATCTCAAATATCTTCTCAATTTTTCAAAATTACAGCTTAAAAACAAAAAGTGAGTGAAAAGTCTAGAGATCAAAGACTTAAAACATCATCTGTAATAAGGCGTTGCTCGTTAACAGTACCAAGGAATTTCAAGTTACCATAAAGGCATTCATCAGAAAGAGTGACCTTTGGACAGCGAGCCAGCAACCAGGGCTTCTGAAATATGGGGGTTTCGACAGAAGTCACTTTTCAGGGAATAGATGGGCTTCTGAATACGATCTCACAATTTTTGTCATTTGCCAATGGTTTTTTCCAATGGAAGAATGCGTTATATGGACATGTCCCTGTGACACTAGGACATGGTTTCATTTTGTTTAGGTTTCCTCCTCCTCCCCGTTAGGGTGGACCCAGGAACAGCACAAATCGGTCTGAAACCACTCCAAGATTTGCGACCTGACTTTGAAAAAGCCATTCTGCATCACTGCGAAAGAAATCCTTGACTGTGGGCAGGTGATGGTGGAAAAGCGAGAAACGCCATCCGCGAGGGAGTGAAACAAACCGACACGCGGCTCCCTGCGGCAGCTGAACCCCATCTTCCTTCCTCCACCTCTCTTCCCCATTCGCACCTAGCCGCCTGCAACCGATGTTTTGACCCTTAATTCAAGCGAAAAGGCAGCTTCTTGCAAATACAGATGGAGAAAAGAACTGCACAGTCAGGGCGGGGTAATGAGGTGAGCTGGGGAAAGTAAAAGGTGGCAAAGAGAAGGGTGGGGGTGCTAGGAGGGGACGAGGCCGAGCAGGCGGCATTGTTATGCCCTGGAAGGGGACGGAAGGGGAGGATGGGCTCGGCAGGAAGGCTCTAAATCAAAGTAGGGGCGAGAAGGAGAAAAAGAGGCACAAAAAGGCAGACAGAGGGGCGAGGAAAAAGCCAAGTGGGTCTCGGTGGAGGGCTCCCCACGCTCCAGGCCTACCCAGAGCACCGGCAGCCCCCAGGCCCCTGACGGCGAAGGGGACCGCGCCGCGGCCCTCCTGGTTCGTCCCCTCCTTCACTCCCGGGCCCACACAAAGAAAGGGCCGGAGGAGCGGAGCCTCCGACTCTGCCGCTTCCTGGTTCAAGTGAGGAGAATACAGACGCAGGCGCGGCCCAGGGACGGAGGAAGCAGCGCGCCCCTTGCCCCTCTCCCCTCCCGGGTCGGGGCAGGGTCCTCACCTGCTTCCCGGCGCCGCAGTTTCTCCTCGTCGGGCCGCGCCGAAGGGTGGGAGTCCTCCAACAACAAGAGGCCGGACTCCGCGGCGATTCGGCTCCCT